TATTAAAACTTTTGGAACGTATTTTGTTTCTCCGAACTATCTTGCAAACCAAAAATTTTAACATAAACAACATCTCTACCCCTACGTAAATCTTATACCCTAAATCTTGGTTTCAAGTTAAATATACAAATAACTAAAGTTTGGCATGTATTTATGTGTACGTATATACATACATATTTACATTCATATGTGCATATGTATGACCTATTTTCTTAATACTATTAAAAAAATTGAACAAATCGGAGAACCTAATAGATCGAACTCATCCTTGGCTGCTACGAAAAAAATAGGCCTTGTGTTGCGGAAGGAACGTTCTGCTCTGAGTTGAAGGGCGGTTCTAATCCGTATATCATCCAGGAACTCACTGTTGAAATTCCAGCTGACGCCTGCGGCAGCGCCTTTGGAGCCGTCCCCGTTATGGGTAATAATTCAAATTAAGAACGAAAGTTCGTTGCTTTTTCTTTCCCTATAATAATTGGATGTGTATTTTAGAGCATATCTAAAGCATGTTAGGTTGTAAAAGTATAATTATTTCTATATATTTTTATACAAAAAATGTAAAGTGATGATATTTAATAGGTGTTTTATATGATTACACTTGCAAATAGCCACCGCACACTTTCTACTTTTATTACTCGCACAAAATTTATCGAAAATTGGATATTTTACTCTTTTAATTGTTTTTTCACCTTTTAAAATAAATATATTAAATAATTACCAAGGCAAATTAACCGATTATTGTACCAATCATATTAATTTAATTGTTTGATAATATCGTATTAACTATTTAAACTTGATTGGTACATAGTATTAAAAATCGTATACCAGAATAATATTGTACCGTACCGCCTTATTTATTTATTAATTAAAGTTTAATTAGTATTGCAAGATAGTTTGATTTAAATATTTAATTTATCTTGTTTTGAATTTTGCTAAATTATAATACAGATGGATATATAGAGCTTGATTGAATTCATTTGCCTAACGCTAACAATTTTAGTAAATCGTCCATACCTCTACAGTCCATTGTCGTTCCTCAATTGCTGTTTGTAGTAAACTATTAGTGAATGCTTGTATTATATGAAGAACATTTGAATGTTTGTATAAGCAAGGATAAATGGTACAACGAATATCAACATGTTATGTGAATGCATATGCTTGATAGTATTAGTGCATCTAGATCTATTTGGTAAAGATGTTAATTTTTAAATAAATTTATAACTTCAATTTTTGCAATGTTGGTATAATACCATACCAACATGTACCCACTGCAAAAGGGTCTCAGTTATAATTGGTATTACATGACATATGTAAAATAAACATGGCATATACCATGTTCACCCCCTAGATGTGAGTACCCAATCTAGAAGGTTCCTTTCCTTAGAGTATCCGAAATTAATTTTACAACGTAAAACTATAAACAGTTGGACTGAATCCGGCTCAAGAAAATAATATCAAATTTGGAATCAAATATAATTCTTTAAAAATAATGTTCGAAATTGAGGTTGAATGTTTTTTTCAATGTTTGAGCTTGAATCTTATTTAACAATATCAAGTTACACATTATCACATAAAATTAAGTTTTTATAAACCCGTTTATAAGCTCGAATTCAAGATCCATCAACTTGTATATCAAACGTTTCTCAAAATATTCTAATCATATTTTATGAATATGGCTGGCTTGGAACAACGTATGAACATATGGCTTTGCTCGAAAACTTTAATTGGTTTTTTCAAAGTCGTCCTAATTTTTTTGGAGGCCCTATTATACTTGTTACCACGTACTATTATTATAATTCATCTAAAACAAGTAATAAACAAGACAAAATATAAAAGTTCACATCATATTAAAAGTCTTAGAATATAAAACAACAAAAATGCTTAAAATGACAAAGTAACATGTGAAATTCACTTAAACAAAATCATTCTTTTAACATTCTTCGAAACAAAGTCTTCAATGAGTTCTTCATAATCAACTTTATCCAAAAATTCATTTTCAATCGCGATCAAGGAAAGTCCGTTAAATCTATCTTGTGTCATTGTGGAGCGCAAATAGAACTTCAACAGCTTCAAATTTGAGAAACTTCTTTTTTTAGAGGCAACAATTACAGTTATAGTCAACATAACTCTATAAGCAATGATAGCATTAGGGAAACATTTTATATGCTTCAAATACGTCAAAATATCAATAGGTGTAACACCCCAAATCACATTTACATATAACCACATATTTCATATATCATGAAATACAAATTTACATATTTGGTCCATTATATACAAAAATACATTACAAAAGTAGCAACCAAAATTTTCCACGTAATTTCAGTACAAAACTTGTATATATAACAAGTATTCAGGTACGAATATTAACACATCATCCCAAAAAACCTTATGCAAGCAATCATATATTTCTTCGTAATTTCCCCTTCCGCTTATAATCTGATTGTGTCTGACTTGTAATGCACATTTTAAAGCACTAAAATGAGAGTTACATCATGAGGTCTAGTGAGAAATCCCTTTGATTGCTATTACATGGTGAAAATACCAAAACACTTTTATAAAACTCATATTTGTATAAATAACAAATAAACAACGTTTTATTAAACAAACCTCTTTTTGTCGCATCAAGATGACGAGACATTAACCACTTATCGCATCAAATACTAGAATATACCCTTTTATCGCATAACATATAAACTTGTCGCATCATATAGATAAACCATAATTTCCTCGCATCACATAGGTGAGGCAACCCCTTTCATCGTACCACACAGGTGTCAGGACCCATCTCATCGCATCACACTGGTGCGATAAACACTTTGATGCGATAACCCAATTTGTCACATCACAAATGACAAAACTCCTTTCTCGTATCGCAAAGATGCGATAAAATCCACTCATCACATAAGTAGGATGCGATAACCCAAGTCATCGCATCACACATATGCCATAACTTAAAGTGATCATATCATAAAGATGCGATAACAGTTCTCATAAGATCTAAAAATCCCAGTTTTTACATCATTTGATTATGCCACCCTTATTCCATTATATGCCTCTCCTGATTATTCCACCCTTATCCCAAAATACACCTCTCCTGATTATGCTACCCTTATCCCATAATACACCTATCCTGATTATGCTACCCTTATCCCATAATACACCTCTCGTGATTATGTCACCCTTATCACATATTACACTTTTCCTGATTATACTAACCTTATTCCAATTATTTGATATAAACATATCAAATACAAAGTTATGCTAAAAATAACATAGTAATAGTTCTCAAAACACCCCATGTAGAGAACCATGTGGTTCTTGTTCAACACTGTAAGATGAAAGTTTAAAAAAAAATAAAACTCAAATCACAAAGAGATGAAGACAACAACAACAATTAATTAGACTCATAATCACATAAAACATCTTCTACTTGCTTCCTCTTTCGGTTTCTATTTTCTTCGCACTCAAGAAAACACACACATAAGTTTATTAACTTTCTTTCTTACTTTTCTTTTTACCATCCCAAGGAGATATATCAAATATCTCCTAATAGAAATCAAAAATTATAAGAGGCGGTGGAGATGACTAAAAGTATTAAAACACATAATCAATTTAACCCCTCAACTTACCATCCTTATTCAAAAACAACCTCAAACTTTATAATTGATAAACCAGTTTTCACAATAGATCCTATAATTTAATTTGGTAAATAATTTTTAAGTAACTTCAATTCCACATACAAGTCATTCCCATCTACATCAAATTGGTCTTGCCTCTTTAGTGCATTTTCAAAAGTAGTACAAGAAGACTTCAAACACGTATTATCCAAAGAATGAAGCTTATCAGAAGTAAATTAAAACCCAAAGACACTTTCATATTCTTGGTATTGTTCAAATCTTTTATTGAGTGACACAATTGCATGATCGACAACAAATAAATTTTTTTAACTCTAAATGATTTCTCAGCAGATTGTGAAGTAATTTCAGAAGCATTACTCGAATTTTCATCAAATTGTCTTTTTCTTTGAATTTCAGGTCTACGAGGAAATAATGGATCAATATTCAATTCAATAGAAATTTTCTTTGTTGATTTTGTGGCATCTAAAAAACCTGTTTCTCTATATCTCTAAAAAAGAAATCAACACCTTAACTTGTTCAATAGCAACATCAATCAACATACTTTTTGACTGCAATTGTTTACTAACCAAATTTACCTCATATAATATTTCATAACAAACCATTATTGACACTAGAAACTCAAAATCACCAAGCTTATTTTGTGATAAAGACTTTGTTTCATTTCTAATTTATGAATCATTATCAATTTCAGCTACTTTAAGCAAAGCTTCTCTTATATATGATACTTGAAATCTTATAGCTTTTACATTATGAATACGACTCTCCCAACGAGTCGTTGACAACGACTTGACTGTCCATCCTTTTATATTATCTTTAAACACTTGCCATCTTTTAGTAGAATTAACAAATATCGTATATGTACATTGAATAATACCAAAAAGTCTCTAGCTTTACCATAAGTGTTGGTTATATCACTGTAACACCCGGATTTTTTTTTTATATAAAGGGAAGGTCTTTATAAGGTATGCGCCTCACTTACTTATTCTGTATTTAAGATATATGTTTTTATATATAAATATATGTAAATCCTCATTTGTGTTATATTTAGGAGTATATGTATAATTACTTATATGGTTAATTTTTTATAAAGTCTTTTTGAGGGAGGAAGGTTCTGGGAACTATATAGGGAGTGTTGTTTTTAAAAAAAAAAAAAGAGAGGGGGTACCTGGAGCTTATGACTTACTCTTATGTCTTGTCCCCTTTTCTCTTAAGGTATCCCCTTTTCCATAAAGGATCTTGACTTTCATGTAAAACCTTAGTGTACTTGGGGGAAAAGGAGAATACTTGGAAAAGGCAGAGTACTAGGGGTAAAGAAGGAGGAAAAGAAAAGAGAAGGAAAGGAGAAAAGAAAGGGGAAGTATTCTTAGGTTGAAGAGGAAGAAACAGTCCCTGTGCAGTCGACGGTTGTAGAGGAAGAAACAGCCCAGCCTGCCTGTTTTTTTTCGCGTTCCGGCAGTCCAAACAGCAAGAACAGCACCTGTACTTGCTGCCCGTTTTCTTCGCGTTCCGGCTGTCCAAACAGAAAGAACAGCAGCCCTCGCGTGCAGAATTCCCGAAAACAGCAGTTGCAGAGCGTGGCCGGAGCTAGAGGTCGACTATGGTAGCTAAGGGGGGGCTGTTTGAGCGACAGAAAAGCGAAGAAACAGCACAACAATGCTGTCGCTTGCTGCAGTCGCTGGTTCCGTGTGATCTGTGCAGTCTGCCGTCTCCGAGCCCCTGCACGCGACTACTTCCGTGTTCCCAGCCGTGCTGTCGTGTCTATGTGATCATCAAACAGCAAGCAGAAAACATTAGTCGTTGCCATGTCTTCTCGAGCGACCAAACAGCAGACAGACCATCGATGTGTTCTCGTAGCAGCCTAGCAATAGTCAGAACCTTGCTGTCCGTCGCCAAACAGCAAACAGCAAACAGCGAACAACAGCGAGCAAAAGGGTGCTGTCGCACCTTTCCGGACAGCAACAGCAGCGAGCAAAAGGGTGCTGTCGCACCTTCCCGAACAGCAACAGCAGCAGTACCATTCACTGCTGTGCAGATTTTTGTTCCTTCGTTGCACCTCGTACCCAAACAGCAAGCAGCAAACAGCACCATTGCTGTGCTGTTTTCCTTGCGTCCTTTGCCTAATCATCACAGCAGGCACGGTTGTGCTTTAGCGGACAGCTTATACCGCACAGCAACAACAGTCGCTGCTGTCCTGTTTATATCGCCTCCCTTGCGACTATCGGATTAATCCCGAGAAATTAGGATTTCCCCTAAATCCTACATGTGAGTTCATTCTATCCCTCTATAAAGTTACTTACATATTAATGTGAGAATGATAATTTAGCCTATGGTTTAACTATGTGTTTAGACCTTACTCTTCTGTCATATAACTAGTCACCTTTAACGGTAGTAGAGGAACACTTCCAAAATGATGGACTCACGTATAGTCTTAATCTTGGAATAATGTTATATATGCCCAACGTTAGTTATCCAAGAATGTGATCGGAATGTGATGAATCTGTGGATTCGATAGTTGTTTTATTTTAATTATGTGAGGGATGGTGTAAGTTGACGGTAGGCATTGTGATTATTGTGTAACCTCCAAATCATCCTCTCACTACCATTCGGAATAGGCATTGCGATTATTGTGTAATTTCCGAGATAAAGAGCTTAAGATCACGACCGACTACATGACTGGTTTAGGTTGATGTCGATGGTGTTAAACCTGTAAGTGATGCTCTATAACGTTGATTTACGACTTACTTTGTGTCCGTCATAATCAACGGTAAATTGGGTCTTCCCCGTCATCCTCGGATGTTTTGGCTCCTTCGTGTAATGTTGTTGAATTAGCTGTTTTCTTTGGCGTTTAAATTTATGTCATTTATATATATAGGCTTCATTGTTACCTTTACGTTATTAATTGAACTCACTAGGCGTAAGCCTAACACTTCTTTTGATATGGCTTGTATATCAGGTTCCTTTAGCGGCGGGGCTCAAAAGGGTTGAGAGGAGCGTTGATTCGTGAAAGGCTCTTTTGTAGTTATAGCTTTTGTTACTTTTGAGCGTTGCGTATTGGGGTTACGCTATTTTTGGAGATTGATAAAAAACACCCGTCTTTAATCTAGATATAGAATAATCTAGATCAGTAGGTTGTTATTTATCTTCTCGGTAGCTGTTTTGTAAACGCTTTACTATTACCCTTTGTTGGGTGAATTTTAATTCTAGATCCTGGTTCTCGTTAAATATTTTCGGTTTAATTTAACTCTTCTTTTTAGGGGGTTACAATCACACAAAGTCAATTTAAGACTATGAGAAGCACAAGAGGTATGAAATGCTCTAGGATTTATATCTAATAGCTTCTTTTGTACTCCTTCATGTTTTCACTTCATGTTTGAACCATTATCATAACCTTGTCCTCGCACCTCATCTATATCTAAGACCAAGACACTTTAACTTAGCTTGTAAAACATCAAACAAACATTGGCTCATGGTATCATTTACCTTAAATCCTAGAAAAATTTCCTCGATGCTAACAGTTTTGGAAGAGATATCTACATACCTTAATATTAATGACATTTGTTCTTGATGACTTATATCAGGATTGCAATCAAGAAAAACCGGAAAAATACTTTGCCTCTTTTACCTTCTTAATTATTTCAGACTTGAAGCTATTAACTCATTCTGAATATTATCACCAAGATAGTGAAAATGCAAGTCATCGTTTGTAATACGTTGAAAATTCTAGTATACCATGTGGCAGAAAATAGTTTAGAAAATCTATCTGTAGGGCCGTTTTGAAAACAAATCTCTTTTAGGACCCTTTACAACTCTAGCACATCAATCATTTTAGAATCCAAAAAATCCTAATTTTGGGGATCAAATATATCAGTATTATCAAAAGCATCATTAACAATATTAGTAGCATGATCAACATTAGTATCATCAAGAACATCATTAGAAGCATTAACATTAATATTAGTATCATCAAGAACATCAGAATTAGCATTAGCATTAACATTAACATTAGTAGCATCATCAACATTAGTATCATCAAGAACATCATTAGAAGCATTAGCATTAACATTAATATCATCCAAACTATCACCTGCATTAATATTAGTAGCAAAATCCACATTGGAGTCATTTTGATTGCCAACTAAATTCTCCAAATTAGGATTGTTGTAACAAGCATCAACATGTTGATTATCAAGGGAAGATTGTGATACTTTAATGACAAACTTATCAAGACATCCTCTTTGAAACTCTATAATCTCTTCAATTCTTTTTTTTTTCTTTTTACATTTTTGACATCCATAATCATACTTTCTAACCCTAGAAAACATAACGAGACTGAAATAAGTAAAAAGCGATAAATGAAGAAAACAACCTGGCTTGAAGATTAAGGATGATATTGATTCTTGCCTTCTTGGTTCTCCCAAGTCCCAAAGGCCCAAAACTTTTGACTACACTGCAAAATCAAGTAAAAAATATGAATTTTTGATTTCTGAAACTAAAGACTAAAGTCTTGAACATTAAATGGTATGTTAATTTTGATTTCCTAAATGGACAAATCCTAACCTATACAATATGAACATAAGCATAAGCTACATAATCTGAGTATGGTATTTTATAAATCAATGAACCTGAACAAGTAAATATCAAAAAATCAAAACCAAAAACAAAACCGATAATCCAAATCTAAACCAGGAACGAAATTGGTAATCCAAACCAAAACCTGAATCAATATCGGTAACCGAAACCAAAACAAAAAAAAGTGATAACCCAAATCAAAACGAGTTACACAATAAATCAATCAGTCTCAATGAAAAATGAAGGTGATACGTTATGATTTTACACACGTAACCACACACCAAGTTAATGGATGGGTTAATGATTAGTTTCAATTGGTCTCGATGGGTTCTCGATTAGTCTCGACCGGTCTCGAATGGTTTCGATCTCGATAGGTTCTTGATCAGTCCTGATGGGTTCTTGAATGGTCTCGATGGGTTCCCGACCCATTTTGATGAAAGATGAAAGTCGTAAGTTATGGTTTTACACACAAACAAATATTAAATCAATCAATAAGTTTTCCATGTAAAATGAAGGTGATAGATTATGGTTTTACCACATAAACAAACACCAATGAATGGATTCTTGACCGGCCTCGATAGGTCTTAATGGGTTCTCGATTGGTCTCAATAGGTTCTTGATCTATCTTGATGGGTTCTTGATCGAACTCAATGGGCGTTGGGTTGTGGTGTTGAAGAGCGTGGTGTCAAGCTATGTATTTACAATATTGAAGAAGATGATGTCAAGTTACAGACTTACGGTGTTGAGCTATTGTATGCACATGAATACTCATAATGGATATTACACATATATATAATTTCACGTAAAATACGGTTAAAACCAAAAAAGCATATCAAGATGGATATCATATCGAAGAGAATGAAATTCTCATTTTTTAGATATAATTTGTTTGATTATAATATTAGTAATTTTCAACATAATTTAGTTTAAAAATGAAGCGGGTAAAAGGTTTTAATTAAAAAATAAAAGAAAAACTAAACATGACCTGATTGAAACGGATTTCCATTTTTACCCTTAATCACTTTACTTGATAATCTTTAATTAAAATTCTATTTTATGTGAGTTATTGGATCCAACGGATATGAAGGGGTGTGATTTGTCCGTTTGCTTACGATGAAAATTTGGTTCTTATTTGAACTTTCCTCTAGTTATATGTAGGCCCAAATAATTCGATGGGGGTAGTCGGTCAAATGGTCTTTTAGGGGATAGACGGACTTGAACCCGCTTTGCATCGAATTAAACCACATGCTCCAGTGTTCTATTGGTTGGTGTCATAAATCCCAGGGTTCAACTCCGGACATGCAGTGACAAAGAGCCGACATTGAGGTGCGAAACCTTATATATATATATATATATATATATATATTCTCATAATAATTCTACACATCGAGCTATTTTATTCTCATAATAATTATATATATTGATGAATACACACTATTAGAATAATGTTCATTGATGAAACTTCAAACAATATATATTTATCCATGTATTGTACTTTACATTTGGGTATATTAAAAAATGACCATATATAATATGAAATTTATTAGTGCGTAGTATTTTTATCATAAGGACATATTCATCAATGAATATATGCACATGAACTGAACTTTATTAGTGTGTTGTATTATGCACATCAATATTCATCAATGAATATAAACATATGTGGTTGATTCAAAAACTATGAATGGCTTAGGTATGAGGTTTTATACATATACACACACATCGGGCTAGCGGTTCTACACACGTTGGTCCATAAGGTTCTACATACACTATGTTTGGAGTTTTACGCATACAAACACACATTTATAAGACAAATATGGTGAGTCAAGGGTTTCACACACAAACACACATCGGGAACTTTGGGTTTTACACATAGATAATGTGTTTTATACACACAAACAAAGGGGGTAGGTTTTGTGTTTTGATGATGACAGGACACATGGATTTTGATATGGTGTAGCTTTAATGAGTGGTGTTTAAGCTTAATACACACACATTTGGGATCACGTAAGACCAACATGTTTTCGTGACATCCATGAGACCACTTTTTTACACTTGAAACTTCACAGTAAAACATTGTGAAGATAACCTTCCCAGTGTTTCTGCTGTGAAGGTTCAACTTTTTTTTTACTTTCACAACGTTTTGCTGTGAAGTTTCAAGTGCAAGTGTAAAACATTGTGAAGGTAACCTTAATATATAGTGTTTTTGCTGTGAAGTTTCAAGTGTAAAAATCTGGTCTTACAGGTCTCACAAAAACAAGTTGTTCTCACGTGAACCCAACCCAACCCTATATATATATATATATATATATATATATATCGCCACAAGTTCATTTGAGAAGTATAAAATACATGAGAAGTAGAGATAACCCTTCCACTAAAAAATTAACTGTCAAGATTTGAGAGGCTGATTGTGCAACAACAGATAATTTGGTCGAATGATAACAACTGCCAAAGATAAAAGGATAGTTTTATAACTTATACAAATAGGTGGTGAACAGATGCATATGTGAACCCATGTGATTCACATATGAGCTATATGTGCATATGTGAACATGTGTGATCCACATATGAACTATTTAGCCGATCCATGTATGGACTATTTAACTGATTTACATATGAAATCATAGATTCTCATATGATATCAATTGTTTTCATTGTTATTTGCATATATGAACCCGAATGATTCACATATGAACTATTTAATTGATACATAGATCAATCTCATATTCACATGTAGCATTATAGTTTTAGGATCAAAATCAACATCTTGCTCAAGATCACTTTCTGGATTTCAATTCATATTAAAAGAATGCAAGATTCTATTGATAAGAATTAAAATTTTTGATTACCTAGAATTGCAATATATCGTTATATTCTAGTCAATCCAATTGGTTAAATTGTTGTTCATATTGAAATGAATCGAGATTGATAAGGAGTTGGTTAATGATCGATAAAGAATCAGTGATAGAGTTGTAATAAAACTGACCAGACTTTCGTTGCTATCATCGACAATGAGGTTGTATTGATCATATATCGTCGAGGCCCGTCATTCAATAAAATTTGATCATTTAGTCTAAGGGCTAGGATCAATTATCTAATTCTCATATGTTTATTGCTTCTGATTTGAACATCTCCCTACATATATCTATACATATAATAAATAAGTAACTTGGGTGCCACATGTCATCATATGATGAGACGGTTATATTTTTTTCCGCCTAAACATGTATGTAGACATAATTTACATTAGTGGTTCAAATAGGCCTATTTGGTTGAGATATGTCCCTCTAAACATGTATCTTTTTTTTTCTTCATGTTTTAACTAATTTTCGTGCGAAACGGGATTTACTTAGCATGGTAAAATAGTTAATTAAGAATTTAACTCTGAATTCATATTCAGACTTCTAAGTCTGAAGTAATCCGAATTAAGAAGTCTAAAATGTAAAGTCTGTACTCTGAACTCTTATGCTTTAGAGTTATTCTCAGACTTATTTTCCAGACTTAGAAGACAATTGTGAACTGTAGTTCTTCAGAGTTATTGTCAGAGTTTTTTCCCAGACTTATAAGACAACTCTGATTTGTTGTTTTCCATAGTTATAATGTGAGTTATTTTTCAGACTTAGAAAACAACTC